ATAGGTGGTAATAAACAGTATCATCTACATTAGACAAATCCCTATTTAATTTACTCAGAATACACAAGACACCTGGAGACAAAAATAAAACCTCAAATTCTCAATCATGTAAAAGAACTAATCCTAAGAGACAATAAGCTGTGGGCACCATTAGTCACATACTGGATAGGAATGAAATTATGAAATAGCAATAAAGCTGTAAACTCAATCTAAGAGCAAGAAGCTGGATACTATCACCCTTCTATCAGAAAGCATCTAAAATATTCACAGAATTTGTAAACAGACAAACTGGGAGAAAAATAACTCTCTACCACACCTTACTAAATAGAATGAAAGAACAGCATGTAAAAAACACCCAAATGTAGACCATAAGAAAAAAATGAAAGCTCATCAAGAAAGTAAAAACCACTTTGAAAAATACCAATATGCATTGGTTAATGTCTCATGATCTAGCTACCAGACACTTCCTTCAGTCTCATCATATAGTATCTCAACCCCACTCACTGCAAAGTGTACAATGAGACAAACAACAGAACACTGTTTTTACGAATGCCAAAGAACAAAAGAAGCATGGGAATACATAAACATGCTTCTTCAGAAATAAGAAAAATGTAAAAAAAAAAAAATTACTGTAAAGACAGCAACTTTTGAAGATAAAGAAAACTGGTGTGAACATTGTGAAACAGTACTTTCTGAGACAAGATTTCTACTGTGGACTGCAAGAAACAAAACAAGATTTGAAAACAAAAAACTTAGAGTTAACATCAAATACAAACTAAAATACAGACTAATAACAGTAGCAAAAATGTGGAGAATGAAGCTATGTGAAGAGCAATTTGAGAAAAAATGGAAAAAATATGATCTAGTGTAACATGTTTGTTAAAAAAACACAAATATATAGAAATAGTAGTACAGTCGACCCCCCTATAATTACGGTCCCAATAATTACGATTCCTATAAAACTGCAAAAAAATTGTGACAGTATCCGTAAAAAAACAGTAAAAAAACCCCTATAATTACGTTAAACGTCATCGGGCAGCCGAACTACTTTCCCACCGTTCGTAGCGCCACGCTACGGAGAGATTTCTATCGTCTGGACAGTATTATATAAATTATATATAAATTAGGTACTGTACATATAATTATATATTAATTATATATAAATTAGGTACTGTATATATAATTATATATTAACTTATTGTAACTTTGTTATAATTAAATATATAATTTCCGCCGTCTAGCGTGGCGCCACGCTACGGAGATTTTTACGCTAACTATCGTCTGTCAGTATGTAAATTAGGTACCGTAAGTCTAATACAGTACTGTAATTTTATACATTTCTTGTGAAAGAAACATTTCTTATTCAACGGCGATTAAAATTATTTATATTAATGATGTCTCCGAAGTTCTACGAAGTTTTCACAGAAAAATAAGTTGTTAGAAATCGGCCGCTCTTTGCTGAGCTGTTCCGCGACGAAAACAATGTTGAGCAATGGCAATGTCGAATGGTGACACTCGGTAAGTAATCCTACAATTTTTTGTTTATAGCGTAGTTTATACGGATTATTCCCAAAAAATATATACGTATTTTGGAAATGTTGAGTCGGATTAGTCTAGAATCGATTAATTTTATGGAAGAAGACCTTTCAATCAGCCGTAGTCCGTAAACTTTACACGTGTCGGGCTGTGATTGGAATGACTCGTAAGAAATCGGATTCCTAAAAAATGGAACGTATCTATGATCTTATAGGGGGGTCGACTGTACAAAACTGTAAACAAAGAAAATTCTATGTGAATGTACAGTACATCAGTTATGCAACAAATAGAACACTTGTAATTATTTCTGTAAATAAACCATTGTTTGTTGGGTATGTCAATGTCATCTGCAAATGTGTGGTGAACAGTACTGCATAAGCTGTCTTGCAACATTGGGGAATGTATTGGATATGCAATCATATTGAATCATATGCAATCATATTGGGGAATGTATGCAATCATATTGAAGACCTATCTGCAGAAACTTCATGCTTTATGGTTGTGCTCCTTGTAGGTCAGCAGTAGCAGGCAAGTGACTAGGCTCACGCCATTAAGACATACTGGTATTGATACTTTTATGGTATCAGGACATACAAATAATTTTTCAGGACTAGAGCAAGCCACTTATAGCTGGCTATAAGAAAAGCATGAACTTTCCAACTTCACACCAATCACTTTTAATGATTGTCCTTGTGCTTTGTTTATAGTCATTGCAAGGTTATCTGAATGGAAATTGCACTACTAAAAATGGCATATCTATGGGAATTAAAGGTATTCTTGGAATTGACACATCATCTTCCACTGCACTTCCTGTTAATATTTTTTCCTTAATGACATTCAGCATCAATTTTTTTACGATTATTCTAGTTCCATTGCATAACTTTGGTGGATCCAAATTTTACAAAAGCATTACTCGTGCTCCAACCTTTAGCTCTAGCTTATGAGGTGGTAGTCCAGCTGGTTCCAAGTTTAAAAACTACACTAGGTCCAGATTGGCCTCAAAAATGGAATTGAAGATTTTTTTCAAGAAAGATCAGGCAGTATTTCCAGCACAAGTTTCTGGAAGTTGTGCTTGGATATGCAAAGTCAGTTTGGCAAGATGACAATATTTAGGCTTACCATAATATTTTTTTCTCAAACAGGGACAATTTTGAGGAAATACAACAGAAAATAAAGCCTACTAAGATAGTACCTATGATTGAAAAGGCTCTGTAAAAAGTTGTTAACAAAAAGCAATGAGTTAAAAGCAGTTTTTAAATTAATGTCTAAATGCCCACCATGAGTCATTGAAAATTCTGAAAAGCACAGTTCATATTTTACTTCATAAATAAGATCATAGACTTTTTTAAAAACGGATAATCATTTTTTCATTCATCAGTAAACACACTGTTTCTTTTTTGGCATTTTGGGGATTAAATTAATTTAATGTATAATGTATTAGTCATTTAATAATAGCAAATGACTAATACATTTGACTAACATAAATTGCAACATTTAAGCCAACTTTTAAAGTCTGAAAAATCTCCAACAAATATCTAATATAAATACCATATATCTTATTCACATTTCAATTCCAGTCTGCTTCATGTCCAGAGACTTTAATCACTTTTAAAATAATAATTATAAGTCTAAATCAGAATTTTGAACTAAAAATCTTGATTGGCTTTATACATCAAATCTACTAATATGCTGAAATTTACAGTATATTAGGCAAAAATCATTTTAATAATTTACAATTTCAAAAATTTAGTCATATAGCAAGTTTTGCATAAGCTAAAAATAATTATATCAATTTTTATAATAAGTACTAATGCAGGTGTTTAAATTTAGAGTAAATCAAAGATTAAATAGAATTTACTCATGAGAAAGTAAGACTTGTTTCATTCTTATTATAAAAATTAATGAGGTATTAATAAAAAATAGGTATTCAATTTCATATTCATATGCAATTACAATAAGCTTAAAGTAATGAACAACTGCTTCACTAAATAAATTACAAAGAAGTAACCTTTGAGCAGTCAAAACTTTATATTTGAATGAACATTTTCAGTCTTGTAAACGGCAATCTCAGGTTCCAAAAATTGAATTAATATGAAATTCAAATTCTAGAATACATAACATTAAATATATATAATTAAATAACATCAAAAGATTAAAAATTAAGATAATGAAATTAATTTTAAAAATTACAACTAATAATAAGAGAATAAAAGTATATAATAAACAATAAAGAAGTCAAATTGATGTGTTCCNTTTCGTTATCTCATTAGCAATTTGAATTGAAACAAAATATCTAAAAAATGAAATAAAAATATCTGGATGAAAAAATAAAGCATCTAGATACATTAGGCCACATGCTATAAATTTTGGGGGGAAACTTAAGGGGAAAAGGGAATGTTAAAAGTACTTAGACCTAGATATGAAATATTTAGATTGGTAACAGCAAGTGTAATAGAGGTGATTATTTAGTTGCCAAATTGTCATTTTACCCTAGGCTGCACTATTTTTACTTCTTGTATATTCAGCACTTTAAAAAATTTTACCAAATAATTGGGACAAAATGACAAACTGGCTGGATCATCAAACGAAGACAATCCTGGTCAAAATGGGATGTCTGGTAAGCCTAACAATATTGCTCTCTCATATATTTATTTGTGGTTTATGTAGTTGTGCAATATATCTTTGAAGACAGTTTCAACCAAATTTCTGGGTGATGCAATAGCTTGCATGTTTTGTTTCTGAAGTAAACTCAGAAAGAAAACACAGCAGCCGTGTGCTTGCTCTGTTTTGAATATGGACATGAATCCTGTTTTCTCACTTGATGTGCTTGTTTCAAAGGATATCATCTGGAAACCTGTTATATCTTTTAATGTTTTGTAAGAAATGCTTGCAGTCTGAAGTTATTCTAGACATGTTCTGAAGGATGATGTTTAATTTGCCCTCAGTTGAGATATTCTCAAGCAGTTTTGTTCATGACAATCTTCAATACTTTCACTATTTCTTAATGACCATTTTATTTTTACTTCTGCACTCCTTTGGGCAATTGAGGCTTTTATTTTGGTGACATTTACAAAATCAGTTAAAATTCAGTTATATTAATTATTTAACAAACCAACAACAGTAATTTTTAAATATATGGATTTTTGCCAACAGATGGTGTCAACTGTAAAGGCAGCAAGTCGTATGCAGAAACTATATACTGTCCCAATATTTTTGGGTAGTATATAGCTTGGTGTTGATTCTATGGTCTTAGTAATACTCTATCAACTTTTGGTCCAGATCAATTTATGAATAGATTTCAAACCAACAAGAATTCATTTTGAAAATAACTAATTACATACTATTTACATATTTACAATTCAGTCATTTACATACATACATTATTTATATATATATATGTATGTATTTTATATATATTATATTTTTTAAATGAAATTGTAATGAATTTTTTTTTTACATTCTAGAACACACTACTTGAAACTACTATGGATGAATTAAAACAAGAAAAAGCTGAATTAAAAGAAACTGAATATAATTCTGTAGAATGCCAAGCAACAGAAGAAGAATATGATGTTATTTTCATTGTTTCTAATAATGAGAATGGACCGACAATTTTACAAAAGTATCCAGGTTCTGAAAATGAAGGGTGTCATATGTGTAAAGTTTGTGGAGAACAGTTTATTAAGAATGATGCCTTACAAGAACATTTAAAATCACATATTGAGGAAGTTTATATTTGCAATATATGTGGTGAAACATGTTCTGAATTGAGTGTTTTTGAAGAGCATCAGAAATCTCATACTGCACACCAATATTTGTATGTGATTTGTGATGAAAATTTTCCAAACAATGGAGCAAAGGTGATTATGTTTATAATAGTAATTACTATAATAATTATTTAATTAAATATTTTTTTTCAATAAAATTGTTTATTTAACATTTCTGCAATTGTACGAATTACCTGAAAATTCTGTTGCAAGTATTAATAGAATTGCACATCTTGTAATATTACTATTTATTAGCTGTATTTGTTATCATAAGCACTGCAGTAATTGAACATGAAAGTTTTGAAGTAGGTAATACTTTATAAGATTGTTTCCATTTAAAAAATTAATTGGTTTTAGAGTAATTATAAACATAATTACAGTAATCAACCAACCAGCAGCTGAATTAATCAGGCAGGAATTATGCTACAAATATTAAATTTGAAAATTATATAATATATAATATGAATAACAAGGCAAATATTAGATGGTATCTCTTAATGGAAGTAATAATTATAATTTTAAATTTAGACTAAATTTCCAGACCATTATAAATTCTAAATTTAAAATTATATTTATTACTTCTTTTTAGAGATGGCACCTAATGTCTGCCTTGTTATTCATATCATATAATTTCCAAATTTAATATTTGTAGCATAATCCTAGTCTCCTAGTCTTTTAGAATAAAAGTAAAATGGCAGTCTTGTTTTAGTTTAGATATTAAAATGATAAATTCTGATATTTATTAGTCCTTTCATGAAATGTGAAATAGCAAAATACAGTGGGTGATTGGTTAACGAACATAATCTGTTCCAAGACGAACATAATCTGTTCCATAATTTGTTCGTTATCCGAATTGCTCATTAACTGATTATCAATTTACCATAGGTTTCTATGGGAATTTGATTAATTCATTCTGGAGACCCCCCAAAAAATAAAAAATATATACTTTCTTACTATGTTTATTCACATGTAATAATAAAAATACATANACTAAACAGACGATAGCAAACTCAATTTAGCCGCTCCGTAGCGTGGCGCAGGGTCGGAGGAAAGTAGTTCGGCTGCTCATCCACTATTGGTCCAGACTCTATCAATCTTGTCGCGAAACGACGTTATGGGAGGTATGTTTTACGAGAGTTTGTACAATTTTTTCGTTACGTTATAGGAATTGTCGTTATTAGAACGTACGTTATAGGGGGGTCGACTGTATATACTTTCTTACTATGTTTATTCACATGTAATAATAAAAATACATATATACACGGTCTTGCATTTTTATTAGTCATCATTTTTTCCATTTGTGGGGGTTAAAGAATCTGTCCAATGTAGATTGCTTTTCTGTCTTCTTCATGATTTTTCAGAAGTAATTAATAGCATTGTAATTGTAGAGATCTCTAGCCTATTAACCTCAACCTGGTTTGGATGCCATTTTAAGACCGTTGTTCTGACATCCTCCCACTTCAAAAGTTCTTTAATAGCAGATATTGGCATAAATCTGCATTTTCAGAAGAAAACGTAAAAGAATTGTTTCTGTCAGAAATATAAAAGGCTGGAATTATGAGGGATAGTTTCAAAGTTCGGGGGAATACTATCCGATCAGTATATACTGGGTTGAACGTTGATGTCAAAGTCTCCCGTGCTCCGAAAAGTTTCAAATTGTTGCCCGAAGACAAGGGAAGACCAATTGGTATTCATTATTTTACGTCGCTTCTTCTTATGTTTGTTCAGTGAAGTGTTCGTTGTTTGATGATAAAATTCTTTCGTGAAAGTGTTTGTTAACCGATCACCCACTGTATTAAAAAAATAGATGCACTATCATCGTTGTTGACAATAAATTTCACATTGTCATATTTCTAACATGGAGGAACTGGAATAACATCTCAAACTGGATAAATTAAATATGATAAAACAAAAACCTTAAATTCCAGCCAACTATTTTTAATGGCTCATGTTTTCAACCTTATTCAAAGACCTTCGTTGGGCTATTTAACATCAAACATTAAAGACCCTCATAGAATGTTCATAGTTAGATCAAAGTACAGTAGAGCATCGTTTATCCTAATCAATTGGGGACTAGGGTTATTTGGATAACTTATTTTTCAGATAACCGATTATGTACAAAAAAATATATTAACCTATCCCATGTTGAAATTTTTCTCCGTTGCGTGTTGCTTTGCGTTGAATTTTCGTCGATGTTAAGCATGACAAAAATTTTTTAAAATAATAATTGTGGCTATTGTATCATTAATTAAAAATTATTTTTTTATTTTGTACAAATAAAATAAATATATTGAAAATTATAAAAACCAAAAAAAGATACTTTAGAAGTTGATCTAGTATCAAAAACGTTCGATTCAGCATGGCACACAGTCCTCAGAAAAACACCACACAAAAGTGCCAATGCTGAGAGCTAAAATACACACACCCACAAAAAAATATTGGAGTAGCCCAAGATATAGCCAAAGATTGTAGTGCCACAGCACTAGTGAAAATTTAAATTTGCCGACTGGAGTGCTTTCAGATAAACGACGCTCTACTGTATACTAATTTAAAAATACAGAATATTCTAATAATCTTGGACTAGAACAATTTAAAATATATAAAATTTTTAAAAAATAGTAAAAATTGGTTGATTTAAATTAAAAAATAACATAATATTGTAAAATGGTAACTAAGAGCATATTATACAGACATTATAATAATGCCAAATGAACTGCTGGATTATTCATCAGGCTGTAACACAAGTAATTTAATGATTAGATATAAAGCAATTTGGCTGTAGTGGTTAGGTTGCCACCTAATGATTAATTGAATAATTAGAAATAAATTTAAATCAAATTTAGAATACTCTGGAAGAAAAGGTGGTAATTTTAATTTAATAGCCAAATTGTGTTATATCTAATCATTTAATTAGTCTTATTAGAGCCTAATCTGGCAGTTTGTTTTGGCATTAGTAATTGAATCGGATTATTAGGTTGTTACAACAATGTGTGTTTAAATTTGTATACTTTGGTCTATCCACAGATGTTCTATGAGTGTCTTTAAGTTGTGTAGTGTGTTGAAAGTTTTTGAATAATGTTCAAAATGTTACTTCATTCTCTTTTTTAGACACACAAAAAAACCCATGAAAAGTCTTAGAAGACATTGCTAACTTTTCGTGTTACTGTGTTCTCTTTCTAAAATCTTTTGTTCTATACTTTGAGAAATTCTTATATAGTAATTCCATTTCACAGTTAATAAAAAATACAAATTTGAATTAGTTGCTTTCAAAATGGCCCCCTTGATTAGCAAATGTCTATTCCAGCAGTCATCTTTTGAAAACAGCTGTGGAAATTTTATGCCATTTACACTTTCAAATGTTTTGTTGTAATGGTTTGGATTTCCAGAATTGATCCAAAACAGATTTCTTTCATTGCCATTTTAATTGTAGGTTATAATCAGAAGTTACTGGATGGAAAATATGGTTTATAGCATCCTTTCTCAAAGTGGACAATAATGCCCCCTTGTGGGCACTGGAGGCTTTCAGGGGGCAGTAGAAGGCTCAGTGATTTAAATATTAGTTTTATTTTTTCTCATTGAAACATTCTTTGATCTCAGAAATAGGATGTGTGTCACACCCTATCAATCCTATTCATCCTATCCATATAATAATGCATGTTTAAACATTATATTTGCAATAACTGTTTTTAAGATATGCAACAGATGGTAATGTAAAAAGACAAGTTAAAAAATATGGGCCCCTAGATTTTTTTTAATCTCAAAGTGGGCGGTGGTCGAAATAAGTTTGAGAACCTGTGGTTTATAGTAATTTTTATGATGTTAAGCATCATTCCTATTTAATTTTATTAGTTTCTAATTTACATAGCCAAAGCCAAGTTAGACACAAAATTATGAAAATTTTTTATATTAATATTATTACCAAAATAAGGACTAGAATAGATTATGCTACCTTGTAAATCTCAAAGTAAAAATGAATAAAATAACTAGGATGGCAATTTATAGAAAAGGAATCAATTACATAAAATAACAGATATCTAATGTTTAACAGGTCAGTGTCAAATGACAATTTGAATAGAAAGCCAATTCTGTGATATAAATTTTAAAAGGTGTAAATGCTATTAGAATTTTGGTATGGCTATTCAATATCTATTTTTATATCATTAGGTGTAATGCTAAGTGAGAAGTTAGAATTTGTTACTTTTTGAAATTTTTGTCTTAAGTTTTTACTGAACTGTGATTTTTGACAGTTGATCCTGTAAATATATATGTGACTTGGAAGAACAAGAGCCAATGTCAGATTGGCCCTTGTTCTTTCAAGCCTCAGATATATTATTGTCTGAAATTAACTTAAAAAAATTTTTTTATCAAATGCTGAAAAAAGATTACTCTGGTATTATTGCAATGTATTTATTATAATTATTTCATACAGGATATGCAGTAACTTGCTTTATTTAAAATTTACATCTGAAGATAATACATCTTTTATTAAATACATGTGCATACTTTGAAATATTCTATTTAATATATTTATCTTATTATTTTTGTATAGGAAACAGTAAATGTAACAGAAGTTAAAAGTGATCACATGTACAATAGAGAAGACAATGCTACCGAATTGGCCGAGTCAAATGCAATTGGTTTTTGTCGAATGGAAGAAGAACTTGTTTCAAATGCCAATGATGTTGAAATTTCTCTTATAAAAGAGCAGGAAAATGCAGATTATGCATGTGAAGCATGCGGTAAGAAATTTCTGCAAAATGCCCAATATCAGAAGCACAAGAAGATTCACGAACGAGAACGAGATCGTTCTCTTGTTTGTGACACGTGCGGACGACAATTTTCCAGAACCAGTTGTCTTAACGATCACAAGAAAATACATACTGGAGAAAGACCATACACCTGTGATACTTGTGGCAGAAGCTTTGCCCAAAGTAGTATCCTACAACGGCACAAGCGAATTCATAGTGGTGAGCAGCCTTACGTTTGTCCCATATGTGGCCAGAAATTTACCCAAAGTGCAGGTTTGCACAGGCATCAAAGAGTGCATCTAGGGGAACGTCATATTTGTGACATATGTCATAAAGGATACACAAGAAAAACTGGTCTAATCTTACACCGTCGCTTACATACAGGTGAACAGCCATATGCCTGTGAAAAATGTAAAAAAAGATTTACTAAAAATAGTTATTTGCAAAAGCATATAGTAAAATGCCACATCAAAGCAGAAGTTAATTTGTAATCCCATATAATTCCAATGATTAACAATGAATTATGATTCATTATTGTTCATAAATCAAAATGAGACCATGTATATTATTGCTGTCCAATACATAAATGCTTCTTTCCATAATTGAACAGACATATAATACTTATATCATGTTATTATTTCACCTATATTTCTGTTTAATTAATAAAAAGTAATATTTCTGTCACAGTTTCAACTGTTATTTGTATATTATTTTTATTTTTGTAAATTTGCCCTTTTCTATAATTACATGCACATTTCATTATATACATATTAGATATCAACAATCAAGTTTCACTATATACAGTAATAAACTTTATAACTTAAGGTAAATTCTAATATTAACAATAGAATTAATATTTCAAAAAATTAATTTAAATCAGAAAAAACAAAGAATTGAAAATGAGCCATTTAAAAATAGTTTTAAAAAATGAAATTAAATCAATTATTTTTTTACTTTCTTCAAGAAATTGTAAATTTTGTTGATTGTAAGTGGTAGTGATGTAAGAGTTATAAAATGTTCTCAAGGCTTAAGCTGGGCCATAACAAATGATTTTTCTGCTCAACGTGGTCCGTTGGTCGATTTTGACGTTACGAAACGTGCTGCCTGATAAGTAACTTAATTCGAGACGACAATCCAGAACGCAGGGTAGGATTTAGAAGTAAGCTGCAGCTTAGGGCCTCGAGTTTCAAAGAGTCTCGAAAAATTTTACAAAAAAGAAAATTGAAGTCAAATTTCTAGTGATTTCTTCTATTTAATTATATGATTTATTTTTATAGGTAGCTTTTTTTGCAATAAAAAAAATCACGAAAAGGAATTTTTAGTGTTTCCCCTTTTAAATTGTACCTTATATGTTGCAAATACTTCTTAACAATAAAACATTAAAATCAATATGATGTTCTCTTCTTTTTATGATTGATTCCTAAAATTGTAAAGGATTGATAAGGGGCCTCGCACAGAGTTCGAAATACCTAAATTCGGTCCTGCCGGAACGTGCTCCACTCGGGTGTCCGACCACATAAGCCCATCCATTTTTCATTCGTTTGTTTTTATTTCCTTCTCATTTGTTAAATTAAAATACATTCGACCCCCTATAACACTGTTGATAATTCCGTTTTATATGAATTCCATGTTGTACTTGTCACTTAGATCTTACAAATACGTGAGCCGTTCACACGTCATCCGGCACGCGTATTTATAAAATCTAAGTGGCTCGTACAACATGGAATTCATATAACACGGAATTATCTACAGTGTTATAGGAGGGGTCTACTGTAGTCTTTTCATACGTTTTTATTAGGTGTTCTATGGTGAACTAAAAACAAAGGAAAGAAAATATGGAAGAGCAGAAAGAAAAGTTTAAGAATGAATAAATGAATACTATATCCAAAGAAAAACATCTAATAATTCTTATAAAAAGTTCTAATTCGCATAAATTTGAGCTTTCGTAATTCTGAGTAACGTTTTGAATAAAATTCATTTGTTTCCATGCAATTTTATCTTTATACTTAAGCCGTAAAACTGAATTCGCTCTATGGGGAAACCTCCGTGAAACTTTGACCTAGCGACCCGGAAGTTTCGCAAACAGTTTAAAATTTGAGCTTTCTAGACTCAGTAGTAATAGTAGTCTCTACGAGCATCCGGATGAAGGAGAAGAAAATAGCTTTTTGACGATTTTTTTCACTTTTTAATTGTTTATATTTTGGCTACCGCATTACAGAACGAAAATTTGCGCAGTACCTAAATAAACAATTTTCTTTCGAACAAGATATTCGGAATTACTTCAGGTGTTTGGGGACGGAGAAATGATCCCCGTAAATCGACAACTGATTCCTGTATATAGTCATTAGTCGGATATAGCCCGACATATCCGAGACCGACTACCTATGAAAAATTATTGGGGTTGAGCGCCAGATTCAAATCCGGTTCTCAATGTGGAAGACTGACGTCTTAACAACCTGGCCCATCCGACCGTCGATTTTCAGTTTTGCTTCTCATACGTTGCAACACACAATGGCATATAATACAATAAACGCACGGTGCATTCGTTCATTGCACGCTTATTTACTGTATTTATTTAAATCACACCTTGTATAATATAAATCAACTATTGTAACTTCGGATTAAAATAAATATAATTTTCTTCTGGAAATTGAAGTACAGGAGGTCAATAAAGCCATTTGGCGCGAGCTTCATACTTACGAGTCTCAAACATTTATTTCAAGTTATTTAATTGCACCTCGTGTGTTAATAAGGACGTCTCTATTCTTTGTCATTATTTTATTATTTGATCGTGGATTCGCGTGTAGTTTTCCGGGATTTTTTCACGTTTATAACATTAAATAGCGGCAAGTTTCCCGTAGAATGCCCTCCGGAAAGCATTCCTTTTCGGTACATTACTCAAGTGTCGCGTTGTCATATAAAAGCAAAAGTTTCTAAATTATTAAATACTGTACTGTATATTGTTTTGATAAACAATAAAGAATAATGAAAACGAAGCATGACATTTATTTAAGTACACTTGGTATTTTCAACTTTGACATATTTTTATTTTGTTTTTACTTTTATCCCGTTGATTATTATTTTAAAAATATATTTTCAATATTTAATTATTATAATATTGTTTTTATAACAATATTATAACAAAAACTTATTAGTTTTCAGATAATACTTTTATAATTAAGAAAACTATAGAAAGGCCAGGAAATAAAAGGATCTACTGGAATGGCACAGTACTCAATTTACAACCACCAGGATCACTTTTGGACACCCATCTGTAAAGTTATGCAACTTCTGTACAATGTTAAAACGGTTTTATCATTAATTTAATTAACAGATAAAGTCATATAAAAGTAATTTTAATGCATTTAATTCGGTCAAGTGTTTGGTTTGATTCGATACGGCAAAGGAACAAATTGGATGAACTGCCAAACAGGATACCAGCACCATTTTCTTGTGTTTATTTTACCGTTTTACCACATTGTTGGCTCAGCATGGCCCACGAGGCCCTTGCAACATAAAACATCTTTTTTTTTTTAAATATATTCTTCCACTTGTAATTAGTTGTGAGGTATTGTATGTTGGTGTCTTTGGAATACTGTACGTATCTGAGGCCCGAAAAGCCTAGGTTTACCTTTAAAATTTCTATTGTTACTTATGTCTGTGGAAATACAAAACCTAATTATAACATTAATTTGTTTACACATGTAACTAGTAACTTTGGAATAGATTTTACAGTAACTAACATGCATTTTTGAATTTAAAGTATTATAGTTAATGTAAACGATGGTATTAACAAATATTTATTAATATTTTTTTTTCTAAAATAAAAGGATACATTTACAAAGAAAATGAAGAAATATAATCAGTTAAAAATTAAATCTTTGTAATGGGTGAGGAGATAAGCTAACGTCACGTGGCAATTGGTGGTGGTTCTGACTACGGTATGTCTGTCCGCTCTTTCAAAATTGGATTTAACCAATTCGCAATATTTTCCATCACTAAGAACCCAACATTTCAATCGCAGACATTTTACACGAATAGAATCTATAGCTTTGGCACTTCGGTCACTGAATCGAAGGGTTGTAGGATCCCAAGTCATCTCGAGTCTCTCTATCTTGCTACAATTATTAGCAATGGAATCAACTAAAGAATCTACGTGAATCTTTGTTTGGCATTTTTGACAGCAACCTTCTGGCATACCCATAACCAGAATTCTGAAAATAATATTTTATAATTATTAAAAAAAATCTCGATTTTTATCATTTTAACTTCGAATATATCAATATGTTTTGGAAGAATAAGGAATGCAAATGCCCACGACATTGGCCCTTATTCTTCTAAACCATAGATGTGTGTATAATTTAAATATTAGAGTAATCAAACACTCACTTAGTATGAGGCATTAAAGGTAAAATGACATTCCAAAAGGCTTCAGTTAGATGAGGCAACCCAGAAAGACAAAGACCCCTCAACATTGGTCCCTGGATTTTAATGAGTTTCAAAAGTGCTTCTTCTGATACATTTTCATTTTTATCCAAATCGAGGGAAACTAAACTCTTAAAATTTCCTTTTTCCATGTATTCTTTCAACACCTGGAAATATTCAAATGGTTTTCCGTTAAATTCTTTATTCTAATTTTACAAAGCAAAATGTAAAAGTAAAATTTATGCAATTATATTCAAGTGAAAACATAACAGTTTAATTGTTGCGTGTAAAGAAATAATTCTGTCCATAATAATTTTTGAAAACCTACAATAAACTGGTTTTAAATAAATATCATTTAAAACAACAGGTCCCCCTTTCTGTCTTCCAGCGAGAAGGTGTCATTCAAATAGGAAAATTACTGAATAGAAAGTTACAAGCGAGCACAAAATATCTTAAGGGGTTTTAAGGATACCGAATTGAAACATTTGATTCATTTTTCGTGATATTTAATTAGAATTATCATCTCATATTCTTAATTGCACTCCGAGATGCCATTCTGACATTGTGATGCTGGTTTCACGAGTGTTAGTGGTTTTAACGGTAAGTGTTATCGTTACTTTATAATTTAGTGCTAGGAAGGTATGGAATTTTCGTCTTTTAAACAAAATAAAATGTCCCAAAAATAAATAATAACGCTAACTGAATAAAAACCTTGAAAATAAATGGTAATGATTGAACACGATTCCTTACACTGTGGCACTCTTGGTTCTGCAAGCAACGAAAAAGCAGTTGCTTTTGCCAAAGCACAGGTGTTGAAGGCCATGTTCTAGGTATAAAAGTGACCACAGATGTTGAAAGTCATTTCTATCACCTACGATGACTATTATTATGCTGGAATTTGGGCATTTTATGTGAAGTTGTATGATAAAATTAACGACAATTCTGGGTTCATGGCCACGTTATTGATCATTCTTCTTCGAAGTTGACATCGGAACTAATTGATAGCATCTTGAAGCTTCTTCGAGACTTCGAGCTGGTGTCAATGAGTTTGTGACATGCTCTGTGACCTGAGCCACACAGAACATGCTCAGAGATACCGAAATATGTTCAACACTTTTATAGTATTTGAACCTTGAATCAACCACTTTCATGCAAGATTGAACGCTTCGCAGTTTGTGTCAATGTTTCACGGATAATAGTGTTTAGTTGCACGTTTCAAACTGCCTAGCAATCTCAATCTCGGGTCTTAATCCGTGTGATTATTGGCTGTGGGGTCAGTTAATAAGTATGGTTTATCGAGGACATATTGCAAATTTAGCAGGCATAATAGATTTATCACACTATATGTGAAAACCACAAGAAGATCAATTACACCTGTCCGTTGAACACTCACTGTTCACACCCTTCAGATTTTACAAGTTCAGAATGGAGATCACATTGAACAGTATTTCTTGCATCCCTAACATCACATTATAGAACGAGTATCTTGTATAAATAAAATGATTACAGCGCCAAAAGTGCCATAGTGATAACTTCTGGTCTAATTTTTTACGGAAATATCTCTCTCATATTCTGAAATGTCTCCATACCTGATTTTGTTGCATTTAGACTGCAAAATATTCAACTGTCTGTAGACAGCGTTGAATAGTCTACTTTAATTATTTAAAATATCAAAATCCAAATGATTAAATATACAGGAAGCTTTAGAAATATTAAATATTGGGCCTGTAATATCCTCAGAAATATGCTTTTATGATCAATTCTAGTTTAAAGTGTCTAGTCAATCGTTCATTATACGTTAGTTTCAACATATATTTAAACTTGCCAGAACAAAAATAGATTTAACGCTACCTCTTCCTAAATATAGAATGTTTGGTACCATCGAGGTCGCGGAAATAGTATCTCTCTATTTAACTATATAAGTTCGAAAAATAGTGAATGCTGCCAAGTATCTTTCACTCTATAGTCATTTGAGAGTACATTTAAATGGTATATTTACATCGAAAGTATCTCACCTGATCGGTGAATGCATCTTGTTGTCCAGCACTCAGGTATCTCAATGCAGGTATTCTCACTAATAAATCTATAAGGCACTCTGTTGATAGATCGGTAGCAGTTATATCTAACTCTTGCAAGTTTGTCTTCTCCCATTCTACTGCCATTACATTCTCACTTTTCAAACCTGAAATCATTAAATAAATTTAATCGATCATATTTTATTTTCTGTATTTATACTATTTTTTTTTTGTTAGATTTAATAATACTGGGAGTGACTTACAGGTTTGTTGCATAAGAAGACATTTTAATTTTTTACATCTTGACATGAGCACTTTAAGGGTACTTCCTTCTACTTTGCTACAATAGTTAATGGCCAAGCATTCCAGCTGGATACAATTACTGCTAAAAGCTTCGACGTGGCTGTCATCAACGAAAATGATGCCAAATAGATTGACTACTCGTAGATTAGGAACTGCACTCTTCAATTTGTGAATGTTAATTACTTCGTAAATTTCTTCTTCTTCTTCTGCTACTTTTTCGTAAGTTCCTGAGAAATAAAAGTGATTTTGTAGGTTATTAACGTAATACTACTAACTTATAGAAGAATTACAAGTATAATATTGGAAAATAGATTAATAATTCAATATTATATACGATTTTATATAGAAAGTTGTTGCATTTTCTGTGAAAAGAATTTAATTTTTATGCATTAATATTTAAAGATGAAAGGTTGATTATGTTAGACCTTGGCTTCGTTTCAAAATATGCCGACTATTTGCAACGAATTTGAAGATAATTTATTTTAAAGATTAAATATAGATTAAAAAAATCTACCTGTTTCATTTATATAACTATCACAAAATGATAGGATAAATTTATTCAGTTTGTTTAAAAAAAAAATACGTTATTTTTAATCATTTAAATTAGCCAAAATAGAAGACATTTGGTTAAAATTCTATAAGATAATTAAAAACTTTTCAAATGAATAAAACACAGCATTGATATCCAACAACAAAGTTACTTAAGCTATCACTAGCAATTTCATTCTAGTAGTTAAATTGATACAATTACTATTCACTGGTAGCTTGTCGGGGGTTTACATCTGATGAAAGAGCTGACCACGTGGAGTATTTCCGAGTTGTCTTCACCTAAATAGATGCCATTTTCTGTTAAAAAGTCGTCCTCCTTGTCAACCAACCTTCCATTTCCAACTAATAACATATCTTTTTTCTTATATAATACCTTCCAATTCTCATTTGTTGTAGTAGGCTATCTATTATGAATTTATCTTGACATTTTTTACCCCCGAATATCCGTAATAAATTAAAACGTTTTTCTTCTCAATAACAATTCTTAGTTTGTGAATAAATGGAATAACAATATCAGCTGCAGATTGACGTGGCAAGACTACAGTAAAATGTATTTTTAGCCAATTCTTGTTGAATAATCAATGACACATCTGGCTTTGTGTTATGTGATATAAGAAAAAGTTTAATTCTTCCACGTTCTGATCTCAAATATTCTCGGTTGCAAAACAATTCCCTCAAGTTCCAATAACAAGTGATAAATTAAATGTCCTTACCAATTAAATGTAATACTTCCAAACCGTTGATAAAGTTGTAAATTTTTCTCATAAATCCCTCCATAAAAATAACCTCGGATAGACAAATACACATCGATCGTAATTTGGTAGGAAACGTTTGTAAATCGCTAAAATCGTGAAGCTGCATGGCAGTGGAGAAATCCAACAACATCTGGGTCAAATTCGGGCATTTGTTGGCCAATTCGTGTAGGACTGTGTGCGTTATCAATTCAATGGGTAGTTCGATGTATCGTAGATTGGGACCTGTTACAAATATATTCAATAATAAATATACGTATACCTTATAAGAAATTTTAATATAATAGTAGTTTTATATTATACTGTATTCTTCAGAATAGAATTATACATTTGCAAGAACTGTAAAAAAAATACAGTCGATCCCCCCTATAACACTATTGATAATTCCGTTTTATATGAATTCCATGTTGTACGAGTCACTTTGATTTTACAAATACGTGTGCCGGGTTGTGAATGGCTTACGTATTTGTAAAATATAAGTGACTCGTATAACATGGAATTCGTATAAAACGGAATTATCAATAGTGTTATAAGGGGGGCCGACTTTACATTGACTTTTCTATAAAGTTTTGTAGAAATTTGAGCAGAATTGCTAGAAATAAAATAAATTTATTCTTTGAGGGCCTTAATATGAGAACTAAATTCACGAAAATTAATTTAAAATACATCGTATTATGTTAGTATCTTGCTAACAATCTGTTGAAAGCTGACGAGTTAACAAAAATAGAATTTGATTTTATTGCTAAATAACTCGGTAATTAGTAAATAATCCCTTGTTAGAAATGTATATATTCTTTAATTATAAATTATTATTAATGATTATTTTTTTTTTAAACAATAAGGATAAATAGTGAAAGTTTTACCTTTTCATTTTCGTATCTACGGATTAAGTAAAGGAAATAGTTTAACTGGCATTTGTTGTTGTAGAAAGAACTAAAAATAACGGAATAGAAGAATTTCTGCCCTTGCTTTAGTGTAAGGAAATCTGTTCCAGTTTAACTCTAATCCTGTAAATTCGCTTAATATATTCAAAATCTAACAATTCCTAGCAATTGAGAGTATCAGGAGTAATCACTTCTCTCTAATGTATATTAAAAAAAATCTTTAATTTATTGGTAGGAATAGTCTAAAAGTTAATTAAAACAACAAGTGAGAACAATATAGTGAAAAAGTTTAGTTTTATCCACTCAAACACTGGTGAGCCTTAAAAAAGATACGTCAAAGTGCGTTAAATATGTTCTATGGATAGAAAAACTTGGGAATAAGTCCTTACTACAGTATATTATCACCATCTGATCAAGTTATATAATATATTTATCATTTATAAATATAATTTAAAACATTCCAGCCGCCAAACTGAATTGGTTTAAGTATTGTAGCAGCCAAATTGCCTAAATTAAAAGATTGTAACTACTAAAAGTTATTTTAATGTCATCTTTAAACATAGGTGTCAGCATATAAATCAAACAATTATTGATTTTTTTCTTTAATTTTTTTATTATTTATTTATTAAATTTCTAAAATTTATTAGATTTTTTTTTAAAAAGTGTTCGCAGGGAGGAAAGATTTATTTTAAAAAAAAACTTTCTCCCAAAATCCATTTGATTACATTATTGAATTTCTTTATTGTGAGAATGCTTTATTTAGATCTACTTACCGAATCTGACAGAGATTAAAGCCAATAATGACTCGATGTTGGAGACGTGAAGACCAGAAATTTCTGGTCTTAACGACACTTGAGTCCAAAGACGAGAATCGCTGGAAATAACTCTCCATTTTTTATTTACTCGAGCGATGCGACTGATTTCTCGATGGGGCAAATAAGAAAAGATCTTCAGGAGTACTTTATCTGGTAATTTCTCGATTGTCTGAAAAGAAAATACGACTTTTGTTAATATTATATACGTTAGAAGTGTATATATATATATATAGATGCGTAATCTTAATTTATGACATCGCTCTTATGAGGAATAAGAGCTCGCTTTGAGACGATTTTCTGGGATTTTCGTAAAAGGCGAGGTTTACTTTCTAAATTAAATTAGACAGAGGAACTTTTCTCCAATTTCCATACGTAAAAGAGTGGAACAATCCTTAAAAGAGATCGAAGATAATATGATGAGTAGTGATTTTTGAATGAAAAAAAAAAAAAAGGCGATCTTCCAAGATGGGAGAACTTTCTATCGGAAATTTGCCCCTATTTAGATATTAGAGATAAAGAAAACTCGGAAAACCCCATACGGAATTTAAAATATATGCTCTCCATCCCTAATTAGTAGTGTCTTGCCCCTGTACATCATACTTTTCCTGTTAGCAATAGAGTCGTGCCAGTCATGTTTCTAACTCCTTTTCTGTGAAAATTTTTGAATTGAAATACCGTGACTTTCGGTACAAACTAGAAGTTCGTATATAGTTAAGCGGTGTCTCCTGTCTCCAGTATTTCCATAACTGATCTCGACTTTTATCTATCTAACTCCTTTTTCGAGATTAAGGAAGGACAGAGTGACGACAGTGGGAATTAATAGGTCTATAATTTTTTCAAATTGCAGCCCAATTGTAGATTCAGTAAATGATTACAATAAGTCATTCTTTTGGCTTTTGCACAAGACATTTGGCTTTCTCATTGAACTACAGTTCTATAACTAGTTTAATTTTGTATAGCGAAAGATTAGAGATTAGGATTCAAATACAAATAAGATTAGTGAAATCTGAGAATTTATGTAATCTGTTGCCAGCCTCCCTCGTTTTTTTTTATAATAGAAAGAAAAGAGGTGGATTAATAAATAACCAGTTAAAAGCAACGGGTTGATTGATTGCTTCTGCTGTTTATTTATTAATCCACAATTATAAAGGAACTAGAACACCTTTTGAATTATTTGAATAAATTAATAAGAAAAACATTTAGGAAATAAATGTTTATTCCTTTAAATTTTAACAATTTAATAATCACTACAAGAAATTTTTAATTTAGGATATTTAAAACTCAAATCAAAGCAGAGTAAAAATATAAAATATAAATTATAAAAGTTGATTAAAGGAAAAGTTAAATCGATTGTGTATATAGTTTTAATTTTTAAGATCAATTTAAGGAACAACAATACTGTTTTATTTACAATAAATATAGACAAAAAACAATTAGGTTAAGTGGCAAGTAATATGACGATAGAATGTTTACAAACACAACTTTAAACCACGTTCTGTGAAAATTTAATTATAAGTTCAAGTGTGCCGTGAAATAAAAAATAAAAAAAAAAAAAGGTTGAAAACACTGCATTAGAAGGAGAAAAATCTAATAATAAATATTCTCCATATTGTTCTGTTACCGGAAAAGATGATTAGTGAAGTACATTATAAGAATCTTTACAAAATATTCATTAATATCATTTCAATATAGTCTTATAACCTTATCAATGGTGTCCCAAAAATCAACTAACTGTGCTTTTTATAATCAAATTAAATTATTCAATCTATAATTTATGTACTGAATAGGACGGAATGTGTCAGTCTATCATTGTGGAAGATCCGGAAACGAATATGGAGGTCGAAGAACCCCAGGAATTTTTCGGGGGAATGGCCCGTCCCGTATATTTCGGGCCCCGTCCCTTGCTACGGGCATTACGGTATTGACCGAACCCACGATGGCTTGATTAAATAAAAAAAAAATGATCTCTTAGTTCTCACAGGGGAGAAAGAGTGAAAAAATAAACAAAAAATATACTGTATTGATTTAATAATGAATGTTTTCAATTAGTATGGAATTTCTTAATTCTATTTTTAGTAATACAAATTAAACCATTGAGTATAAACAGAAATACATTATAGTTATAAACAATTTGAGGAATATTTTCAGGAATTTCCTAAGGAAAGTGAAGAACTTTTAAGAGATAAACAAGATAAAGATTTTCAAACACTTTAACAAAGACTTCGAGATAAACTGTAGTGAAGCTTCGAGTTGTAAGTAAAAATAATTTTTGACTTTTAGAAACGTTCTTCATAGTAAAAGTTACTTTTAAGGTTCTTAATTAATATATTTAAAAATATGCAAAGTACATAAAAGTAACTCTTCTATTTAATTAAATTACTTTTTGTAGTCGTATTTATTACTTTTAAAAGTGACACTTACTCATTTATACCGGTTATATGAAGTGATTTGTCGTTAAAAAAAAAACCCCTTCCAATTTGGGTAATTACAACGAAATAATTATACTGGAGATATATACAGCTTACCGCTCTTGGGATTCCATTTTTACTATGTATGCTACCGGTTCCACCCGTATCTTTAAGGTTGGCAATGACAGCTGTGGAAACATCTTGGGTTATGGCCCACATTGAGATTCTTCTGTCCATTGTTCGTCTTTCACTCAAATATATAATCAGAAAAGAAAAAAAATTTCGGGAAAAAAGCCAAGGTTTGGTTAATTACAAAAGTAATAGGACAAGTCGAGATGGTGGAAAAATTGGGAGGAGTAAAAGCCAAAAAGTTATTTTTAGGTAAAAACGTAACATTCGCTCCACTCCAACCTAATCTGAAACGTTAAGTCACACTACAATAGAACCTAATTCGAATTAACTAATAAAGAATTAAATGATTCCCTTTTAGTAATTACGTTTTACTCTTCCCTTTTCAAAATATCATTAGCGCTTCTCCGTATTCGTTTCGGCGAGGACAGAAGGGTCACCGAGAGAGGAGGGAGCTAGGGATTTTTCTTCGGGTCATTACACGAGTCCACTTTTACTTGCTTGATATTCATTGTGGCCGATACCGGGGCAATCGTGAGCTTATATGGACCTCAATAATAGAATTAAGACTCTAATTCCATTTCATATCTCCTTTTTTACTCAGCCATATTTACGAACGTCTTATATAAACACGTTAAAACTGAAGTGTTTATTTACACTACGAGTTAACTTACCCAAACAGACGTTACAGATTCGAGAAAAGGATAGTTTTGAGGGTTTTAATTCTTCCCATTTGAAAATAATTTTAAAAAATTAAATAAAATCTTGATCTTGACGCTGTGAACAGTGTTATAAGCAATGGGCCCCAGAGATCTTAGGGGACCACCAGACATTCTGTCACGTTGATCTCGGTTTATCACGTTTATTTTTATTTTTTCTCTTTATTAATTTTCTAGACTTTATAAAAAATATGATAAAATAGGCTACACAAAAATTTACAAATCAGTATAATTGTTGATCAACAGATGGCAGCTTGTCACACGGATAGGCTGCCATCTGTTGTTCAAGAAGTGAAGTAAATTGGCTATATATATATATACTACACATTTACGGCTTATCTTATGTAACTTTTCATAACTCCTTATCCAGTTGAACGTAATTATGACACGAAAATGAATAAAAATTTCAAATTCACATTTCATTATTTATTTTTACTAAAAACAGTACAATCGATACAACAATTTGAACATGTTTTTCATGAAATTATCCAAGAATTACAATATAAATGTAATACATAATACGAGTAAATGATATCTAAAAGGTAATCATGTTGCTAATAAGTATAGAAGCTACGTTATAAAATAAGGGAACGAAACACTAGGATTATGTACCAGGAGGAATTCGCTCCGACTTAACTATCAATGGGTTAATTAAATATATATCAACAGCATTTTCAAAGCTACAATATTCTATTTGTAATTACTTAATTTCGAATAGAATTACATTGTAATTACAATATTCTGGGAATAATACTCTGCCTAGATACACGCAGCAATACGATCGGGTATGCATACACGCACCGTATAAGTTCGCCCTTAGATGCAACTGCCACTGAAATCCTTCGCATTCCAAAGCTACTATCCCATCTGGTCCCTCAAATGATCAATGGGCGACAAACCTGGATACCGGGCATGATTACCAATAAAATAGAAAAGAGATTAAGGGAAGAGGCGATGGTGAAATATGTAGCCTATAAAGAAAGATAGGATAGATGGTGAAAAGGGCAGAGTCATGAGCGCCCTGCATCGCATTTATTAAAACAAGAACAGATTACATACATGTAAAACAGATATAAACATATAGCGACAGAAATACAAATACAATGGCATAGTTTTTAGACAAACAGTTGAAATTGAGATAACATTAGATAGAAATAATACTGAAAAACAGGATTACCAAACTAATTAAAACTACATAATTTGGTGTAGGACGAGGATGACAATCATATTGAAGATACTATATTACAATTGCAAACAGAAATAGTGGAAACATGGTAAAAGACAACAATAAATGACGCTTACATTATTGATCAATAATGACATAGACCGTGTACATACAAGATACAATACAAAAGTACTGTACCTGGCAAAACAGTGAGGATACCGATTGATAAGGTCCTTACTTGTCAATCGGTACATGGTGAAGCTTGCAATGCAGATGAGGTAGAATTACCACACAGATGGGTGAACACCAGTAGATGTGGAGCTGATACTGTCAAGTAGTACGCGACAATAAACAAACAAACATCAGATGCTTGCTGCACGATGAAACAACCATAAAAACTGAAGATGTTATGCGGCTACGTCGACCATACCTGAAAAAGTAGAGACTACGAGGGCGTGTAATCGTACCTGCGTGACATTTCAGCTTTAACACGCAAGAGAGCAGGACAATCTTTGCTCATTGAGCTATGATCTTTTCTTGAGTAATTTCTCTTACTACAATTTACGCAGGTGGTGCCTCGTGTTTCCTTGAACATTCCTTGTGGAGATGATGATCGCCACAGTGGCTACAGATACTTTCTTTCTCCGTGCATGTACTTGCGCGGTGCCCAAAACAAAGGCACTTAAAACACTGGTTGATCGGTACTGGTTGAAATCATACACTGGACACCTGCTCCATTGAATGTTTGTTTATTGTTTTCCCTTCTAATAGTATATTCCTGATGTTAGAACTCACCTCGACCACCCAAAATTCGTACTCCTTATCTCTCTGTCTCATTTGAAATTTAATTTTTACCTTCTCGCGGAATTCTTTTGCAGCACAGGGCCCTTGAAGTTGGTCGTTTTGTCTGTAGATATAGCTCAAAAGATTTTCTCTATCTATGGGCTTCGGGATGGATGCTATCTTCATTAGTGGCCATCTGTTTTCCGCAACTTTTGATCCCAGGTATAGCTATCCCGTCAGCATCTTTCAACGTGAGGCAATCCACAGCCACCCCGCCTCTACCGATACTCCGAATCTCCCTAACACCGAAACCTAACACCTGCGGCTTGATATTCCTCGTGAGGAGTGCTCTAGTTTCTTCAGATGTGCTCTTGGATTTTGTACTGTAAACTAGGACGGTGTAACTCGGCGGCGGAGGAGTAATTGGGGGTTGCGCAAGTCTGATTCCTCTTCTTAGTGCGTCGCTATACGTGGGGGTCGAGCTATCTTCCTGTTGTTTAAAGTTACCAAGTATATTTTTCCCCGGAGCGGAAATTTCTTCTTTAATCTCGGTTACAGAGGCCAATAATTTCTCATTTTGCTCTGACACTAGCTGAATTATCTCCTCTTTATAAGCAATGGAACTCAGCTTTTGTTCCAGAGTGGTAGTTATATTGTTACACTCAAAAGCGACCACTGCTAGATTAATTATTCTGTGAAACCGTTCAGTAACGTATCTCAGGTGTTCTGTAGTCTGTAATTTCCTATTCGGTTTCGAGGCAAAATATCCCTTAACTTCGTCTACTGCGCGATGTGCCTCTCCCAGAAAATTTTCTTTTGCTTTATCATCCATTATGAAATAGAAACCCGTTACTAATTGAGAGCTGATAATAAAAACAGACCGATGCACTGGTGTAAGAAGACTAGCCAGATACACTGGGTTGGATTCCTGGATGAAGCACTAGTTTAAGCCTGATTTCAAAGTACTTCGGAACTAAGACAGGACCGAAGCCAAGCTGCAAAAAAAAAAGAAAAAAAAAAAGATAAGGGTTACTCACCAAGGGATCTCAACTTATAAAACTCTGAGAAAGTCCAAGCTGTAGATCCTGTGATCCAGGAGTAGTGGTAGATCTCGATGATGTAAAGTTCGAAAGTTCGCACGAATCTGCTGACACCGACAATCCTGAGTCAGTTTTCCTATAAGGATGATGAAAGACACGATAACGGCCAAGCTAGCTTGGCCGGTAGTATCACTGGCCAACAGAAGAGGGCAACTGTTCTGCTTGATATCGAGTTGCTAACCAAAGACAGCCAAGAGCACCAGCAGTACACATAACCACAGCACTAGGGTTTCTCAAACGGGATCCCGGTTGTTTTTTTAACCCTGGAAATCCCGCAAATTTCTTAAAAATTCACTTTTTTCTTATTTTGCGTAAAAAGTTAAGGAAATTTTGCAAATAGAAAGTAGAAGAGAAGGTGGTATTATGAAACACTGTGGGTATTATGGAACCACCCCATTTCGAACTGATAATAAAGGCGAACTGTAGCGGAATGTGGCCGAACTGAACTAGACAGACATCCATAGCGAGGGGAAAACCCGTTTTACTTCAGTTAAACGGTTGTCCGTATTTAATCAGCAAATTTGTTTTTTTTCAAAATTCGCAAGTTTTGAATGCTAAGTGAATTTAATTATTTTTAGAATATAAATCGTGTAGTTGTAGGTTCACTGGTGCACGTATTCCGTTCCAGAGAAATAGAGGTACGTATTAATCTGTGTGATTTTCACGTTTTTAAAGTTTGGTGCCGACAGGAATTAAGTTAACCCAAGATGGAGATGCGTGAAATACGGACCCCATTGGTGCTTTTAATACGGAACCCAACTCCCCTGGTGTTCGGTATTACCAACAAATTCAAACCATAAAATAATGGTTTTACGTTTTATTTTATTTACGAAAACATTTTTTTAATTTAAATACTATCTTAACAAGAAATAAAATGTAAGATAACAATCGAAATAAACATTTTTTTCATGAAAAAAATATCGTCTGCTTACAAAATAGCGAAACTGAGCACGCGCGAAGTGACAGTATCGTCTGGTAAAGTAAATAGTCTACAAGTAAGTTGAAACTTTTATGTTTATTTATTTGAAAAATAACAATAAATGTAGCAGTTGTGATAAATGGGCACACTGTTCTTGTGCCAATATTGAAGTGATGATGACTCTATTGATATCTCTGCTTTTGACTTGCCTGGTTTTAAAGATAACACTGCTTGTCTGTTTGCAGATGATAGTCATGGGGAGGTGTGGGTGCAATGCTTAATGTGCACATAAAGATTGTGCTGATGTTGAAACGGAACATTATATTTGTGATTTTGGTTAATGTGTACCTAGGTAGTCCAAGATGGCGGCGTTTCCTGTTCGTGGGCCTAACGGACTCCTCCCGGAGGGGAGCCGCCGGCAGGCCGCCTTGTGCTAAACGTCACTAGTTACTGATTCACGGTAGTTCTTGAACAAAATAAAAAATAAAAAAAAAGGAAACGTCTACTAAAAATATAGTTAATCTAACCGAAGCGCCGCCATTTTGGACTACCTAGGTACACATTAACCGTGATTTTTGTAAATGATTAGCTTCTTTGTACATTTCTTTATTATTATTATGTTGGGTTTTGTGAGTTATACTCGGTTCACACCGGTGGCTGTGTACTATGCCGGACCAGAGTCAAGGCATAGCAACCAAAACAAAACTAAAATTAAATAAGTGTGTCAGTGTGTGTGTTTGTATTCAGGAATTTCCTAACAATGTGGCATGTATTCAATATAGTGGCTTTCTGTAGTGTGATGTATGTATTTCTACTCAATTGTAATGTTCCCAGGCTTTTATGTAGTGTGTGTGGTATCACACCTGTACAGGAGAGAACGACAGGTACAATAAGCACCCTATCCATCCTCCACAAATGCCTTATTTCCTGGGCGAGTTCTGTGTACTTGCTATTTTTTTCAGTGCATGTGTTTTGTACATTGTGAATGTTTGGAATGGCTATGTCTATAATGTATGTAATTTTATTGTGTTTGTCAATGAGTGTGATGTCTGGTCTGTTGTGGTAAATTGTTTTATCTGTGATTATGGCTCTGTCGTAGTACATTTTGTGCGTGTTGTTTTCCAATACTGTCTGTGGAATATACTTGTAGTATGGTTCGTGGATGTCTACCAATTTGTGTTTCTTTGCAAGCTCTTGGTGTATTATATTTGCTACTTGATTATGTCTGTGTAAATAATCTGTCTGTGCCAAGAGCTTGCAACCAGAAGTGATGTGTTGTATAGTTTCTGGCATGATGTGACATTTTCTGCGTTTATTATTATTATTATTAAATCATTTTTGCGTTAAAATACATTGGAATAAATGATTTTGTAATTATTTAACATTCTTTGTACTTTCCTATTTGTTTTTGGCTACATTAAAGCAATTTTTGAAAATATACAGTAAGGTTCCGTATTACCACCCGATTTTCTCTAAGCCTACTTTCTGACTTTTTGTACAAAAGCCTTCAAAAACCATACTTATAGTTACACTAACGAAAAATCCAATTAGGAACATTTAGTTTAAAATAGTTAAAAATACTTTTTGCACAAAAAATGTGGGTGTAGTTATGATACCTTGTTTACAATTCACTAAAATGTAATTGGGGTTCCATAATACCACCTTCTCCACTATAATTAAATCATAAACTGTCAGAATACATTTGTATTTATTAATTTTAAACCTACTTATTAGATTTTTTAAATTTTCGCTCGTTATGGCAAGACACAAATGGTCAATAATCAATACGTAGCTTATTTGTGGCGGGACTCTCAAAATTCTTTATCTTTAATATCCGGAATAATTGCGTTTACGCTGTCTTCTATGATGTTTCTATTAAAGCAGTCGAGGTAGACAAATCGAGAATACTAGAGAACAAAAGAAGTACTAAAATCTCGAAAACGAACTCGAAATCTTTCAGGATACTGGTGAAAAACGCATAATATTTGTCTTCTCTTAACATGCAATACTTAACTGAAAACACACACCAGAGCAAAGTGACACAGGTCTGTCACTTTCTCCCTCGATACCGGGCAGGCCAGGGAAATGGTAACGCGATAAAGACAATCCCGGAAAATCTATTTGTATTCGGTCGAGCATTGCCTCTCATTAAACGTAACGTATAATGGCGTATAAATCTCTGAATGCACCACTGTGTCATTGATGTCTCTCGTACCACTAACAGAAATGACTATTATACGAGATAACTCCCCGGATCAGCACACCAGTAGTGAGGTGCAGCGTGCTGCTCAACAGACATGATTCAAGCGTTCACCATTGAATTTAAAGAATTCCTAGGAAATCGTTTATCCATCAATTTTATCTTAACAAAGTATCTTTCCTTATTGTTTTTACAGTTTTTCCTCCCTCTTAACGGTTAACTGAACTCTCAGCCAAAAAATGTTTATATTTATAAACCTTGTTTTAGTGTATTGTCTACGAGTGTAAGGAGCAAGTGCAAGTCTCAGATTTATATTCTGTCTACTCGCTTTTATCGCCCTTATTTACTAAATTCGCTGATTGAGACAACCTGCGTTCTAAATAGTTCAAAACACTGTTTGAAGTATTTAAGTAATCTTTCTCTTTACAGTTTGTCGAACTGTAAAGTGAATAAATGTTTTTGTATGTGTGAACTTATTCAATAATTACTCAATATTAATTATAATTCTTTCTATTATATTTGTTCAAAAAAGTTCCTTTGATGCTGTCAACTCGAAGACTTGTGAAGTGACAAACGTCGAATTTATAATGGAGTTAAGCAACAGATTGAAAGAATCTAAAACATGGACGTAAATGCAATTGATTAATCATAAAACAATGAAGATCCGGAAATTATATTGGTATCAAAACTGTTTTCATGTAACTGAAGGTCGACAATAATAATTTCCTTTTGGAAAATAGCCAAAGAAACGGAGAAGAGTTGTTGATTGTTGTGATATTTATAGAAAGGACAATGAGGAGCTTATATATATATATATTTTTTTACCTCCCTTTGACGATGAAGTGGAATGTTAATCACGTAAGAAACTATTTCCTTTTTTAAAAATATATCAAAATACCATTATTCTTTCATTCCACGAAACGTTGGATCTTGTAAAAAAACCGACGACAGATATCTAGAATTTTTTTTTTGTTTAGATACTACCCTTATAATTGATTTAATAATACCCTTATGTCATTTTATAATTACACGTGTTTTAATGTAAATTAAATCAAAGTAGATCGTATAAAACTATGTTCTTACCAGATCCTTGGGGCCAACGTATGGTCTTCTGGAAGATACATCCACCACCATCTCGCTTCAGTCACGATCTCAGAAAAATCACGTGTAGTTCTTTCAACAACAAACTCTCTAATGACATCACTATTACTATTTACCCAACATGCACTTGTTCAAAGATCTAATTTCACTCCTTGGGATGAGGAACAATAGATTCAGTTGTAGTAGATTTTAGTCTATAATATAAGAAAGAAAGTCTCTCTCTTATAGGATTGTCGGCATTTCTTGTCAATTTATTAAATTTTTGAAATATTATCGAATTTTAAAGAGTTTAATTAATTGTTTCAGATAAAATCACCCCTTTCTTTATTTATTTCTTATTGTAACCTATGGTTAACTGTGAAGCATTCTACATTAAAACCTGCCGTGTTCTTCATTCAGTAATGATAAATTTTATGACTTAAGAATGCCATTTTGTCTTAGAATTATTCAAAATAATTGTAGTAGATTATTTTTTTTAAATTACTGAAATCTTTCTATCTATATGCTATTGCATATTGAAACACTTTTACATTATTTAAATTAGGTTGTGACTTTTTTTATGATTTAATGTAATTTAATAAAAACAAAACTACAAAAAATATAATTAAAAGTAAAATTGTTGACAATATTATGACCTAAATTCTTGGGCTTTATTACCATATTTACTGAAAGCATAACACTTTTCATAGATGTATAATATGAAATATAATGTAATACACGCATACTAGATGTTAAATCTACTGTCTTCTAGCTATTAATATTTATTTTAAACTAAAAAAAGGAAAGTTTTATTTATTTATATATATATATTTGGCATAGAATAATTATTGAGTAAATTATTCTTGGCCCAAATTATATATCTCTCCCCCGTATTTATAATAAGCACCCTACTCGTTTTCAACATAATTTAAAGTCTGTAGGAGTAAGTAAATTTCATTTCACTCACTATCTTGTAGACGAAAGAGGTAAGATTCTTTTCAAGTTATTTCTTCTTTTTATAGTTTAAATGCTAAATAATTTTTCTTAATAATTATTTTATTATTATTATGGTCATATAATAATATAACAATAATTAAACTATAACAAATCATCCCAATGTATGCATAATTATTGGACGACTCCTGAAATGTAGAATATAAGATAAACTTATAATGGGGGTACATTGTTTATTTGCCGAAGAGTTTAAAAGATGCATCCAAATCATGGTGTGTGATTTGTAAGGAATCTGGATAGACCATGTTAAACTCTTCGGCAACTTCTCGCTAATTGAAGGTGCCAGCCATCGAAATAACTGGAATTTTAGTTTCTTCTTACTTAGTTTTTTTTCCTTCTGTAAAAGAATAAATCAGATCAACATAACGGTTTCAGACTTGTATGAAAAAACCCTGTATTATGTTGGCCACTTCTCTAAATGGCGTTAGTCTAACCACTTACTACAGATGTCGTAATTAGTTTCAGACATTTTGTAATACCGATTTGATATAGTAAGGATATCAATATTTATGCCATTGATAACAAGGTAAGAAAGAAAAATATTAACTTGAAAAAACACAATGATTTTATATTACTAAATTACGCTGTTTTTTTTGTCAAGCTCCTTACTATATATGACTCTTACTGTTGAGATCTATTTGTTTAGTACCAATTTCGGGGGGAAATTATGGTACTAAATCGAAGTTTCACTTCATTTAAATGTCTCCTTAAGAATTCTGTTTATTAGAATTTCATACACTGTATATTAAGTAAATGAAGTTACGAAAAAAACATTTCGTAACTGTATTCGCTGTAAAAAGAACAAGCACGTGTAAGATTAGTTGTTTCGAAATTTTGAATAAATAATAAGTTAATAATAACTATAGATGCACACTGACAATTGGTGCTTATGGTTGTGTGAGGATCTAAGCAAACCACAACTGAACATTCTACAGCTTACGGCCTGTTAAATTTTAACGTAAGTACGATTCCGTGTATATATCTAAAATCCTATCTCCCAACATCAATTTGATCCTCTAAAGCAGAAATACATACCGGTCTCTAGAAGCAAGTATTTGTCATAGGCCTTAAACGAAAGCCTGTGTTTTCTATACCTAAAATAATCATTTAAGTTTAATAAATTATAATTTTTTGCTTTAATTAGACCTAAATAATTGTTATTTACTTAATTATGTTTATTCACTCAGAATTTTACTAATACATGACCTAATGTTTCTTTCACTAGAGCATATATTATAAGCTTCTTATTATTATATTCTAATTCATTACTATGTTAAGAATATTAATTTATAAGGAAAATATAAGATTGACGCATAAATTTAAATAAATATTGTGTTGAAATAACTTTATCGAAATTTAATTTCGTTGGGAATAGTTCCAAGTAGAACGTGTAGGTTGAAAAGGTTTAAACAATTGTACTGTGTTAAATTGATTGCTGACTTAAGAAGTGACTTGATTAGATGAGAATAGTTTGGCTACACTTACTCCATTACAACAGAATAATATATAAAATTGACTTATAAAACGTTATACAAGTATTATCAGAGTAATTTCTATAAAAATCAACTTTTTTTTTAATTGATAATTTTTTAGCGTGATGAAAACCATAAATAATTACTCCAGCATCTTGATTTATATTTGCAGATTAATAAATATGGAGATACACCACTTAGAAATGTGCGTATCAGATGGAAAGAAAACATTAGAAAAGATGAAAAGTTTCGGATTTACCCTTTTTGCAATTCGAATAACTGAATGTTGCAAACAATTCGTAATTAAATGTGGAAGAGTTAAATTGGTTATTACTGAGCGCATTTCAATCAAAGATCCGAAGAACGAAGATTGGACCATTTTTTGTTGTCAAAAGAACCATAAAAGAGATTCGGTGTTTAACATTGCTTTTGTAGTAACAGATGTCAAAGCAATGACAGAAAAAGTATCTAAAACTGGCAAAAATATTATTCGATCCGTTACCGAAATTAATGAAGAGAACGGTCGAATTTTATATTCGATCGTTCAGTCCGAATGTTTAAATGTAGTCCATACACTTATAGAAAAAAGGAATTGTCGTCATCCATTTTTATTTGGATTTGAATTAGTAGAATTATCTAATCCAATTAAAAATTGTATAGAATTTGGAATTAATCAAATCGATCACGTTACATTAGTTTGCCATGTTGGACAGATGGAAAACATTTTGAAATGGTACGAAAAACTGTTCGGTATGAAAAGATTTATTATGAGTAGGTAAGTAATTCTTCTTTATTTTGAAATTAACTTCATAATATCGAAATCATTTATCTTTTGTTGTATTGGCAGAGAAGAAGACGAACAAGAAGGCATGATCTTCGATATTTACGATGTATCCATGCGATTGAAAGCTATGCAATTCTGGAAATATTCAGAAACTTCGTTGACTTATTCTCCACAATCTTACCAAACTGACAAAAGTTTTATGTTGGTGATAGTCGAACCGCTAACAATGAAAAGTAAGTACTGTACAGTCGATCCGACCTCCCCTATAACACTGTTGATAATTCCGTTTTATATGAATTTCATGTTGTACGAGTCACTTAGATTTTACAAATACGTGTGCCGTTCTGTGCCCGGCTCACGTATTTGTTAAATCTAAGTGACTCGCACAACATGGAATTCATATAAAACGGAATTATCAACAGTGTTATAGGGGGAGGGTCGACTGTATTCAAGATTTTTATTCCTAATAATTAAAATTTTTGTATTATAATTTTTAAATTATATTATTTCAGATTTCAATCATTTGAGTACTTTTTTGTTAGAACACGAAGGTCCCGGAATAGAACACGTAGCTCTTCATGTACAAACGATGGAGAATTCTGTGGCAAAAATGATTCAAGCGGGAGCCATATTTCGTCATCCTCCATTTTCGTATTATACACAGGTTAATAATTATTTATATTTATTTTTATTCCTATTACATCGTAGTCAATTTTTAATCCATCACACTCCGAAACTTTGGATCTTTTTGTATATAAAACTAATGGACACGCTAGCATGGTTATTATTATTATTATTTTAATCTAAATGCTGGAGAATGTATAAAGAAACTTTTCATATACAAAACATTTAAGATTTATACTTAAATTTCTATTTTAGATGGATAAAATGCAGCAGATAGAGAAAGCTGGTAAAGACATTCTTACTTTAAGTGACTTGGGTATTTTACTAGACTACGAAAAGGATGTTTATTTTAAGAGCACCGAGAGCAACGAAAGGAATAGGTAAGTTATTTTCCTGTTTATTATTCAAATTTAAGAAATTCATTCTGTAATCATTTTTAACAATTGATTAATTCGTTTTCAGTTTAATAGATCAATCGATTGATCGATCGATCAAAATCAATGATTTGTTAGCTCATTAGGGCTTTTTAAAACATACATATGTTGGGTTCCACTATGCCCACAATGATAACGGTTGGGTGATGAGGGACGGGGCCCGACATACATAAATTGTGTCTTTAATATAAATAAACTTTCGTGCAACGAATAAAAGAAAAAAATATATATTTTTTATTTACATAATTCGTCAACAGATGGAGATACAAATCTTTTCCCTGCTTTACAAGAGATAATAGAGGTATTATCTTTTGTAACAACAGAAAATTTACGTTAAAGATTATATATAACAAATTATAATTTTATCTTCGTTACTTCTTATTCAATGAATTTTCCTCGATACGTATTTAGGTGGCCACTAACAAATGTTTAAGGCTTCCATAAATGTGAGGAGTGGGCCAAATGGTTCTGTTAGTCTTCCCTAATTATTCATTTAGTTTTATATATAAATTATAATTTAATTTCTTTAGAAATTTACTGTAAAATTTACTTAAAACAAACACGAGTTTATCAATTAATTTTGCTTATTTAATTTTATTGAATTTATCAATACGTATTGTTTTGATAGGAATGACAATTGTTATATTATATAGACTGCATCATTAGAATTTGTTTATGGTAATCCTTTGATTGATGTTGGTAAGATTAAGCATCAGTTCTCACGCTTAGCTTTACCATTCCCGGTGCTTAAATAAGTACAGAGTAAGAATTTGATAAGAATAGAACATATCCTGAATATCGAGTGGGGCCTTAAAAAATTAAGGTAATAAATTTAAATACAGGTAAAATGTCTACACGAGTAAATAAAATTACAATAGTCTGGGGCCCCTATCGAGGAATTCAAGGAAATCCTGGTGATTAAAGATACATTACATTGTTTTAAATCGAGAATAATTTGAGATTTTTTTTGACCTTATCTGTTGATGTGACAAGTTTACATTGTGTAATAAAGAAGACCAATTTAGTAGTCTTTGTCAGAAAAGAAAGCGCAAGATAGGCCAATATCCAAAAAGTAGTCTCAACAAAAAGAAATAAAATAAAATAAAAAAAACTTGACAAATAGACTAGAAGATAGACAATGTTAAGAAGTGAAATGTTTTTAGAATTTAAAGAAAAAATAAAAAAATAAAAAATAAAAGGATATTTTATAAAAATACTTATTGATGTCTTTCGCGATTATAATGAGGATGTAGGAGTGTTATGACAATGGTTTATAGGACATCTTGATATACTATGGTGGAAAAAAATACTCTAGAAAGGTAAATTTAATGATTTTTCACAATGATCAATTCGTTTTCCTAGAAATATAAATGAAAAAATATCGTTCACGGAAAATATTGTTTATATTTATATAAATAAACTACAAAATTTTCTTCGTTCTTTTACGTAAGGAGACTTGAGCCACTTTTGACTCCTTTCCTCTGTTATGTACTGTATTAACAGAGGTAAGAATAATGTACAGTACAATTATATACTTATAGAAAACCCTCCCCTTTAATTACGTAAACAAGACGGATCCCCCTGACATAGAAGAAATGATTAAAAAGTTCTACAAATATTCACTGAGTTTATTCACTTGACTAGTAAGTAGGCTTATAATAATAAATTCGTATGCCACTAATACTACTAAAAAAGTCTATGTAGACCAGTGTTTCTCAACGGGGGCGATATCGCCCCCATGTGGGCGTTTTTCCATGTTAAGGGGGCGATTTGTAACAATTTATATTTGGGGCGAAAAACAATTTTCCGGGCGATATAGTAAAACATTATATTAAGAATAATTAGATATTTTATTTGTTATATTGTACAATAATTAAACAAACAACATTATACTAGTCACTAGTCTATTCAATGTAGTACGAATTTGGCGTTACCCTTGGCCCTCGGCATCGGAATTTTGAAGTGAAGGGGGCGATACTACGTAACGGTTTTATTGAAGGGGGCGATACTACGTTGAAGGGGGCGACGATTCGTTACAGGTTGAGAAACACTGATGTAGACAATACCTCGATCCCTCCTCCATCGTGTACAATGATTTTTTTTTTATTAAGCTCTGTTTATCTGCAAAAATCTCAAGTTATTTATTTAAATTATTAATTTAAATTTATTAATTGATAAATAATTTATATTTTTCTGATGACATCTCCTATTAAATAAGAAGATAATATCAGAAAAAATATATATATAAATTATTTATTTAAATGACAAGAGTCGGTCAAGAAATGACCGATTCTTTGAAGCTTAATAACTCCGGAGTTTTTTGTCGAAAATTTCTGAAATTTTACAGAGATTTGTTTATTAGAGAGATTAATGCTATTAAATTTTGGTGATTAAAGGTCAAGGGGATGGGGAGATAAAGGGGGTCTTGTGTATCTCCAGTAGGGTCAGATTTAATGACGATTTTACTAGTTATTACCATTTATAATTTTTTTTATAAAACTCATCCCTACCCTCAAAATTAAGCTTTTTGCCATTTTATAACAGTTAAAAATATTTTAAAAAATTTTAAGTAAAATATGATAACAGATGGCACCACCAAATGTTGCCAGGAAAGTTAAGCAACTTGTTGTTGGAAAGAATTTAAATTCTTTTATATTTTTACTTTATTTTGATCTATTTAAACACGAATAGACCTTCAGAATCATTTTTTTTAATACTGAAATTAAAATTAAAACAAAGTGAAATGTTTGAATGAATGAAATTTTCAGGTTATTCAACCCGAAAATTCCTTTTCAAAGGTGATGTGTATTTGAAGTTTTCTCGTACTGTTAATTTAGATTTAAAAAAAAAAAAATGCTCTAAATGCATAATCAACCATGTTGAAAAATGCGGAAAACAATAGCTTCTTATAGTTTCTTTATAGAGAAATAAATTTTAAAAGTTCGATTTGAGTTAAAAGTACAAAGCTTTCAGCAACGTGTGGATAAAGTGACAATATTTTGCTATTCCAGCGTTAAATTTATAGTTATAAAATTGTATATAATTATCATTTTCATAAAATATATTGTGTAAAGTAAAGAGAAAGAGAGGTAAGGAGACTATAAGATATTTATTTTAGTATTTTTTGAGCATTTTAATAATGGTATATTGAAGATATTTGCGTGTTTAAGCAGGGGGGTGAAAGTCTTAAGGAAAACACTTTCTGCTGTGTTTTTGTGTTCCTCTGATGCATTCATAATTAGAACCTTTACAAATTAGTTGGGCTTATCTTCCAACTATGAATAATTTTAAGGAATTTTCCGTTCTGGTTTACTATTAAACAAGTTGGATTTGATCGAATGATACGCGGAATTTAATTCAAAAGTTTTGCTCTAAAAGTTTAATCAAAATTAAATCTTTTTAAGAATCTTATTGATTTAGTTTAAGATAAATAAAACAAAACATCTTACCGAGCTAAATTGTGAGCCTGATTTTTACAAAACTAATGCTCAAGTTGTCGGTTAGGATACTTATTTAGCATGTTTTAAATAGTTTTTCTAGGTAAAAATAATGGATAAGACAAGAAACTAACTTTGATTTTTCTTTTTAGGTTCTTGATGCAAATATTTTCTCAACCAATTTTTGATAAGAAAACATTTTTCTTCGAAATTATCCAAAGATGCGGAGCTCGAGGTTTCGGAGCAGGAAACATATTAGCTCTTGCCATTTCCATTCGAAAAGAATCTGGAAAAAATCTCGCAAAGACAACTGAAATTTCAACTAATAAATAAATGAATTAATCGGAGAAATAATTACTGAATTAATTTGTTGGTATTTTAATCGGGAGATCTTTTGTAACAGATGGTCGATAAATAAAGTGTATTAGAAACGATACAGGTGATTGTCGTCTGGAGAGAATGGGAAGGAGCTGGATGATGGGAGGGAGGTCGATGAAGCGAAGGGGGAGTCACCAACCGTGAGACGATGCAGCAATCAGAGCGACGATAATAGTTTTGTCAGACCAATTCGATTAGGAACGTAGCGCTGCGCAATTAATCGACGCCTTCGACGCCTTCTTATCGGGTTTTCTCCGTATAGCCTCGACTTAGACTTCGACCCCGATCGATGGTCGAGGCCTATTTATGCAGTGGAGCGAGCCTGTGGTACTTCCTGGCAGATACTTCGATATCGTCAATCGGAGGAGGAGGAGACGAAAGCAGACGTCTCGACAGTCAAATTCGCTCTCCCCAGTTACCAATGCCATGTTTGGAAAATACGATATCTCCAGGACGGAACTGTTGCCCAGTTCTGATCAAGGGGTGCACGGAAAATATCGCCAAATCCCCTCGTCCCCCAATTTATCTCGACGTCGGCTGAGTGGTCCTTTACCCTCTACCACGTCCCGTCCGAGGCAACGAGTTCGCACCATAACTTGGGTGGATTCTGGTAAACGAGAGAGAATACCTGTTGAGTTATTTAACTCGCTACCCGAATCTCGAGTCGACCCCGAGTTCTGTGGTGAGGAAAAAGACCTGTCTCGATTCAAGGTGGTCGGAAGGGCGAAGAAGGACTCCCGTCGGCCGGAAATTGCGGTGCAGTCGGGTGAGTTGCTCTTGTTATGGATCGGTTAAATGCTCGAGGCTCTTTTGTTAATGATTTTTTATCATGCGTTCTGTATATTGCCAAATGCCAACTTCGTAAACCAACACACTACGTGCCATTGACATCCCACAAATAATCTTTTGTAGAATTTGCTATTTTAGAACAGAATTTATAACATTTTATATTAATAAATTCCACGTTTTCGATTTTTTTTATTATAAAAAAAACACTTTAATCATCCGCCTCTTCATTAATTTTTAATATAATCCGGTTCAATGAGATTTAGACAGGTTTTTAATCTTGTAAAGATCCGATAACGATTATAAAAAACTACTTTTACGAGATTAGAAAGAGTGTAAATACTACAATAAATAATTATATATATTCTAATATGTTTAATCTAGAATGATTTAAGCGTTATATTCTTTCAGTATAGCTTCAGGCACGAATACTTCCATTTAAATTACACCGAAATTAATTGAAAGAAGTTTTAAATCTTTGCACACTCTGATTTATCTGATGGAAATTAAGTCAAGTAAATATTTATGCAATAAATTATACACTAGAATAAAAGATAACTTAGAAAAGATCCCTAGGCCGAGTCTTAAGACATAACGCATAACAAAGCTCTTTCCCTCCATCAATAATTGTATATTCTCGTATACGAGGACCTAGATTTAACTTATGTAAAAGGCACATTCGGGATCGAATTTATTCGTAAATCAAACCCCGAATGTACAGTACATAAGCTAAACAAGCTACAACTTAGGGCCTCACTCTATGAGGGTACGGTTTAGGGAATCGTGCTTGTAAATTTACAATTTATCTACGGTTCATTTACACAAAAATTTTGGTCCTTAAATTGCATCTTTTATCAGGATTAATTTTCTAACGAATACGAAAAATCGTGAATATGTTTATAAACAAGGAAAGCCTTAAACTTGGAATAGGGGTCTGGTTTGACCGGAAACGAAGTTTGTGGGAAATGTGGAACTTGGCTACACGCACCAGTTGCCGCCCCGCACCAGTAAACAATGCGCGAAGAGGATTGCCCTTCGACAATGTCGGATACACTCGACTTGACTTTTTTTTTTTTATATTTCTCGTTGCATAAATAATAAAAATTTGTCAGAAAATTCCCGTCTTGTGTTTACACGAAATCCATTCCAATGACGTTCTTGACATTTTCCAGCTATCCATCCCTCCGGACAGACACCGACCATCTGTCGTTTAAATTCGATTCTTTATGTAATTAACGACTTTTTCCAAGAGCCGCGGGACACTTAAAAACGAGACGTTAACAAAAAAATACAATAGTTAAAAATGTCGGTCCGGTTTTTTTAGTGGGCACGAGAGGCTCTTTTGTTTCCCGTTGGAGTTAATTAACAAGGTTGTCATGACAACCAGCGCTACGGACGACGGGATCCCTAGTAAGCGGATTTCCAGACCACTACCCGGCCCAGTCCGTTGAGATCGCTTAGAGTTACACCACGTTCGCGTGCTTTTATCGAAACTTTCAACCCCCACCGACTGGTAAATGCGCGGAGGAGAGCTTGGTAAGCATTTTTCTATACTTTTCTCACCTTTCCTATCTTTCCGTTTGACAATAACGAGTGTCTTTCAAAGTGACACCTTCTAAGTATCTTTTTACGTGTAATATACGTAAAAACTTTGTATTATTCATTATCATATTTGATAATAAATCAATAACGGTAACATATATCTATAAATCAACTTATTCGAGCTAATAATAATAATAATAATAATAATAATAATATACCGGGTAGTTCAAAAGTCGGTTAACCGTCTTAAATATATCCTATTAATTGACTTTTGGACCGATATTTTTAAATGTATTTATAATATTAAATACAATATATAGCATAAATTCCAAGTAATTTAATAATATATCAATACCTATTCGTTAGACAGGTATTTCTTTTATCGAAAACAAAGAAACGGAAGGGTGTTAAATGTATGTTAAGTGTTTTTCTACAATCGAAAGTATCTTTCCATTAACCCGGAATGAACTTGCACTCGATGAAAAAGGGCATTCGACGAGAGAAAGAGGCCCAGATAACAACCGGGTTTGGCTTCGCTTTCAAAGAGTATTGTTGTACGAGAAGCAACTTTCGTACAAAGTCACCTGTCAGAGAGAGAAAGTATTATGTGATGACTCAAAATACATTTTTATGATCTCATATCACTTTGATTACTTTCGGTCTTGCCTGTGTATTGAATAGTTAACACGATAATAAAGGCTTGGCACGCATCAGCTAGTGTCATCGATGTTTTTATAGACCGGAATCTTCAAGTTATTATACTTTAATTTGCATCCAGGTGTTTCGACAAGATCGAGCTTCAACAAAAAAAAAAAAGAGTCAAATTGTTTTTAAAATATTGATGGTAGTACAATAGTTAAGTCATAATAACACTAGCTAAATATGGCTACAAGGAAGCGAATTTTTAATCTCTATAATACTAAATGCTATAGTTTTGGACCATTCTACGCTGCTTACTTCTTAAGAAATTCAATTGTTTTAAGGTTTATTTATTTACTTTTCCGTTTTATCTTTTTAATTAGACAATAGACATAACAAAGAATAAGAGATTCGTAATTCTTACGAAACGTTAAGGCTGAAGACAGGGGTATTCCACTTGTTCTAAATCACAATTACACGACACACCAAGTTACGAGACACTTCCGACATCGATTTATATTCATTTATATAGACAAGAAGCATTGAATCGTTGAGCGGAATCTATGATGTAACACGACTTGTGTTGTTTTATAACTGATTGTTTTGAGATCGTAACGTCGATAATTGTAATGTACTGTACTGTACGTATTCATTTTATCATCATCAAACGTAACTTCCACAGCTCTTGCAGTATGTTAAATGAATAAATATATATTAAAACAGGACCAAGAAAGGGTTTAAATGATTAAAATTTAAGACATTTTCAGTAAACGTATACACGTAAAATGATAAGTAAATACTGCTGTTAAACATTTTTATTTATTGTTATGAATAATGTGAATATAAAGAATGCTTTGTGTAGAATCCTGTTTCCCTTTATGATATTTATCTTTCAAAATTTCATGCAGAATTAATGAATAAATCCATCCCTTAACATGATTCCAACTATTCTTGAATAATAGGAATTAATGGATCTATTTCTTTTATTCGTACAGTGTTAAAGGAATATTAAGGAATTCCTTAATATTCCTTAACATTTTTCTCCGTGTTAATGAATAGATCGAACCTATTATATGCATCAACGAAGCTTTTGATTGTGCATCTTCAACACGTGTTGTAAAGACAATTAGTTCAGTGAGATAAGCGGAACCTTGACTGATTTAAATCATTATTTGCGCTTATTTAATTAAAATTAATTGTAAGATAATAATTAATAAAGATTAATTTCATAAAACTGCCTAAAATTCCTATTAAATAATCTTTTATAAATCATTACTAATTCTAATTCTATAAAATAAATAAGTAAATAGACAAAAATCTATATTATTCTAGTGTCTTAATGCTTTACAGTTTATCTATTACCGTAAAAATTTATTTTATTATGAATATTTTTCTCAATATCGTTCCATTGAACTAATCACACGTTTATTAAAAAGATTTATCATAATCTAATATTAAAAAAAATGATTTAAATTTAAATTCGGAACTGATTTTTTTCCGTTAAGTTGACCCATTCTTGAAGCGGAAACAATTAGTTTTTATATAAATAAAGTCAAACCTCTTAACTACGGCCAACTTTTGTATATCTCGGCTAACTGACTTTTGGGCCACCCTATGTAAAGGTGGTCTAAAAGTCAGTTAACCGCTGTAAAGATTACTGTCGTTGTTTGGAGAATAACACGCTGTTTACAACTTGTACCAGGAACACAGGAAACATATTTAACTGAATTTTGGGCCACTCTATATGTATTAAGGTTATATATATGTGTTTATGATGTGGGCTTAATGACGATTTGACTCGATGACTTAATCTGATGTCAAACTAAATTGATATTTATATCCAATCTTCTTTATCTTACTGTTAGATCAAGTTAATCAATGCAAATTTGACAGTTGTCCCATATATTTTAATCGCTCCGTTTCCTCTCAACGATCACTAAAATGTCTGAGATGAAGTCACTAAATATAAGATAAAAACTAGTCGAGGTTTTCATTACAGCTTCCAGTTGTAATGAGGCCTTAGGCAAGCTGGACATTCGATGCTTTATATAAGTTTATATAATATAAAACACGTTTTAAATCGATACTTGCAAGGACCCTTAACCTTTAGAATATCTATACTAGACTAAAACATTATATTTGTGAGTGTTTGAGGCTTCTAAAATCACGAAAATCTAATCAAAGTCCTAAAATTATTTATGGTTAAAGCTGCCGCTGAATTATATGTTTACCTATTGTAAATATACTTTTATAATCTGTAAATAATAAAATATATCGGAAAATTCATTGTTAAATTAATAAATTCAGTAAAGTACACTCAAATTTAGTAGAATCTTAACTTAAGCTTGTAATTAGCTTATAAACTTTAAATATACTAAAAAATTGGTATTTAAAATATTAAATTTTATTGTTTTAGATGATAAATAATGCTATTCTATAATTAATTCTAAATACAGTATTTTATTAACTTTATATTTAACTATAAATTAAAATACACTTAAAAACTTATTCAAATAATTGATGAATCCGGTCGAACTAGTCGTACATTTTTATTTGTTGAGTTAAATAAGAACAGAATATTTATTTTACATCGACTAGTTTTTATAATATTATCTTTAAAATAAACGGCCCATTACACTCCTTCGTGACTCCAGATAAATACAAGGGCACTACTACGTGTATAGAGAAAATTATCAGGTTAATTAATATTCTTTTATAAAATGCTCTAATATTAAGTAAAATTTATTGAAAAAAACATTAAATTCATTGTTTGTATGCTCTCCTCCTCCTCCTCCTCCC